TCCCAAACCCCTCCTGCAAGGACTTTGCCAAGTACGAGTGGATCGGCCAGATCATGGGGGCCGCTCTGCGGGGCAAGGAGTTCTTGGTGAGTCCTGGCAGGGAAGAGGCGCTGCCCTCTTCCAGCCTTGCTGGCTGGGTGTCTTGTCCAGGAGTCCTTTAAGGGTGTCGTTTTGCCTGACTGACTGACCAGTCTTTGTGATGTCTCCCCCTCCTTCCCCTTCGCTCCCGCCCTCCACAGGTCCTGGCGCTGCCGGGCTTCGTGTGGAAGCAGCTGACAGGGGAGGAGGTCAGCTGGACCAAGGACTTCGTGGCCGTGGACTCCGTGCTGGTGAGTGGGTGGTTGAAATGAGGACAGGGAGTTGTCTGGGACATTTCTTTTTGTCAGCAGCATTGGGCACAGGACGAAGTGGGGCTGGGTGGGGGTAGGGGCTTGCCCTGCCTGTGCGGATGCTAAAGGAGCATGGTTCTTGACACACGCCTGGGTTTACAGTTGAACCCGTAGCCCATGCAGAATTGCCGGCTTTCATGGCTCCAGGTCGCAGCCCGCCATGCTCATCTGGGTTCAAGCGGCCCCGGGGACCCCGTGGCCCAGCAGGGGAAGCCCTGTTCTGGGCAGAGGGTCATGCATTGCCAAGCCTGGCCGAGCCCTGAGCCTCTCTCGGGCCAGGGCATGTGTGTTGCAGCGCTGACTAGCAAGGGCTCTCATCCTGGTGCATCAGGTGAAGTTCCTGGAAGCGGTGGAAAGGATGGACAGAGAGACCTTTGAGTCAGAGTTTGGGAACGAGCTGACCTACACCACGGTGCTCAGCGACCAGCGCACCGTGGAGCTCATCCCCAACGGCAGCCGGATTGTGGTGCGCTACGAGGACCGCGAGGAGTTCGTCCGCCTGGTGCGGACCGCTCGGCTGGAGGAAAGCACGGAGCAGGTAATTGCGCCGTGACGAGCCACCATCGGGGACCCCAGGGCCTCAAGCCTCTCCCCTCTGTGCTGCTGCATCTCTTCAGGTAACAGACTGGCAGAGACCACCAATCGGCCGAATTCACCATCCGGCGTAGGGTGGGTAAGA